CTTTATGTAAATTATTTAAATTCAGAGAATAATCTGCGGATATCAAATTTAATATTTTACACAAATTGTAGCGCGATGTTTTAATTGTGTCTAATCTTCTTAGCCATCTTGTACAAGGTTTAGGTTTTAATTCTGGAACTTAATTTTTAAAAATTGCCCGCCTTTTTGTCGAAGCAGAGAAAAAATACATAGAACTTTTGACGATGTCAGAAATATGTATGGTTTCAACTAATATTTTTGCTGAATTATTCCTGATTAACGCCTAGCACGCCCTCTTGTAGTGTCCCTGATTAGCGACACATGTCGTTTTATATTTCCTGAATATCTGTAAATTGATCAAATAATATTTTAACCATAATTATCAGTAAGATCTTGTTATCTGAAGATATAGATAACTTACTTTTTAGAGTGATTCAATATTTTAAATAGTTTAAATTTAAATCAGTATACAAAAAGTGTAATATTTTATTATGTTATTACAATTTACTACTGTTTATTACTAGTTCAGAAAAAAATTAATGTTTTTATGTTCTTTTCATTTCATTTGCAGATTGTATAAATAAACATTTTCACAAAAAAAAGCACGTCTTAGGAGTTTTAGGATTTATTCTTGTGGAAATGACAAATAAAAACTGTCTAGCCTTCAAAACTCAAACACCAATTGTTTACTTAGTTATCTATGTGTAAAACCTTAAAGATAGAAACGTCAACGTCAATTCAGAAAAATAGTAGAGTTGGACGATAGCGTGATTTATAAATAACCGTTTAAATCGTTACTATGAATAGTAAAATTAAAATAAATGAAGTTATGTTCTCTCAAATCATCAACAAATTATACATTCGTTAATATTTTTCTAGAAAGCTATAGAAAAACATGTAAAGAATGTCATTTCATCAAAATTAATATTATTAAATAACAGTTCGTGGAATATCGCTCAACTCTATTAAACATTCATTATAATGACATTTTTATCTTGAAGGTATTACATGTGGGTAAATTTGGCTATTAATCTGTTTTTAATAATCAGATTGATTCAATGTAAATGACCGAATTAATAGAAGCATGGCATCTATTTTAAAATTAAAAACTTTTCCGTTATCTACGGTATTGAAGAGATAAATGTGTAGAAATAAATAAAAAATTATCGGCGATAACCTATTCCTTAGATTTATCGAAAAGTTTTCAAGGGTCGGTGGAAGATTTATCACTTTTCAATAAATCGAACAGTTATCGAGCTCGTGGTTATTGATTATTATTTTTTTTCTCCTATAATATCTAAAAATACGTTTTTTGTTTTGTAGCAATCACTAAATTTATCAAAACTTACATCATTAAACTGCAATGTCAGAGCACATAAGCTGTAACAAATGGAATTACTGTAAGGTGGTTACTTCGTTTGTCAACAACAAATATTAATATTTATAAATTCTTCGGAAGTCCCCAAATAAATTACAAAATTAACCCAACGAAATATTGAAAATTATTTTTGAATCTCCAAAGTGAAAACAAATTTAATGAAAAATTTAAATAATTCTGTTCACCCATTCATTCTCTACGCACACTGTTTTAACCATTTCAGTCTTCAGGACATAAGATTCCGATATCCAAATTGGTAATTTGAATGAAGTTTTGTTTAAATTTCATAACATAATCTTAAATTTAAACATAACATTTTGCAAATCATCCTGTTCAACCTACTCAAGCATTCAAGAAATGCATATTATATATTATACAAATAATCTCATCTTGCTCTAGATACACTAGAAGCTAAATATATTGTCTTCAAAGCGTAAGGAACATCACGTACACAAGATAGATTCAAAATCAACCTGCAAGGCATTATATATTCCATCTCTTACATCGTAACGTTTATTTCTTTCTCACTCAACAAATCTAAAAGAATTATAGCAAAATTCCACTCTCGACGATGTAAGATTGCCAGTTGGACATGCTTTACACCCACACAACCTAATTGCCTGCAATTCTTTTTTCTCCACCGGCAAACTTATACCAGGTGACGTGTTTCGGGGGTCGGAATGTTCACTTTTAAACTTATTTCAGTAGTTTCTGTCACAATAAAACGTTTAATTTGATTTTTTCAAAAAATAATAAAAAATATGCTAATAGACCTTTTTCGTTATTAATAATATCTATCACTCACGCGCAAATCCTACTCGCCCGCGGCTCGTAGTGAAAACGTCATCCTTGTGAGTAATAGCCATCATTACCCGCTCTTTGAATAATATACTATTACTTTATCGTCTGGCGGGCGGTAAAGGGACACTTTACCCCCGCTAAACTTATTTATAATCTGGACTTTATCGCCCGGTCGTGTATAAATGTATTTGTATGCTTATTGTTGTCATTCATTTTTACAGACTGCCATAGAAACGACAGAAAAACTACTATGGTTTAAAAGAATTGTTTAACAAGAGTTTATAATAATTATTATTGACTACATCGGCAAATGGTTTATACAATGCCATCCTTCTTCCTTTCACGCATACACATGATTTAAAAGGTAGATACAAATATTAAAAATTCAGGTTTAAGAGCTAGGTTCACAATGAATTAGGATTGTAATTTTCAGGGCAAACTTAATTATTGTTGTCATGTTTTATGTGATTTATTGAATATAAAATATTTTTTTTTAACCACTTTGCTCAGGATAGGGATTGCCACAGGTGCAATTTGGTAAAGTACAATGTTTCGTTGTCAGATGACGGTCGAAATTTGCAGTGGGCTCTCTTACTAATATGCCTATATTTTAAGATAAGTATACTCATGTGAACTAGGAGGTACTACAAATATTTTACCAAAAATGTTACGTAGTTGATAAATATCTATTTATCTATCTATCTATCTATCTATCTATCTATCTATCTATCTATCTATCTATCTATCTATCTAATCTATCTATCTATCTATCTATCAATCTATATCTATCTATCTATCTATATCTACACGGAAAAAAAATTGTAGAAGAAATTTCTACAATTATAGATTTTTTCTCTACAATAAATAGTACATATAGGGACAGGGACAATTTGTAGTAAAAATTTCCAAATATTTGTGGAGAATGTATTGTAGAGTTATTATCTACAATATTTAGTAAAAATATCCAAATGCATCATAAGAATTGTTCTACAAATTGTTATAATTTTTGCTATTCATTGTATGAATTTACATTAAAAATGTATTGCGATTTATGAAAATAAATACGAAAATTTTACACAATAAATAGTAAAAATTCATACAAATTGTAATAATTTTTAATAAAACTTGTAGTAGTATTCCATAATTATTATAATTATAACCTAGAAAAAAATGTTCCTTAATAAAATATTCAATTTATTGTTTTAATATAAAAGATACAAAGTCTTAATTACATTATGTAATAAATAACAGTAATAATAGCACCCTCAGTCTCAGTTGGCTTTTCTGCACCTGAAAAATATGAAATAAAAATTAATAACAATTGAACTGTTCATACCCTTAAAACGGGGATATTTATCACCTTTACACTGATTTGGATATTAAATGACTAAGTCAGATAACTAACAAAAATGAGAAAGTAGGTATGTCACAATTAAGACAAACAATTTTTTTTAAAATAATCTACTAAGGTTATTTAAATTAGTTATCTAAAGGTAAATTATTCAAAAACAATAATAAATGTACTTACCACCAACAGAATTTATTATTAAAATTTTCTCAAACGCATCGGTGCTTATAATATAATAATGTGTTATAGTTACTCGTATATGTACCATGCTTTGTTATGTGAACATGGCGAACGGCTACTGCTGTCTGGCCATTTATGATCGACGTCAGAAAACGTTGGCCAATAGCAGAATTCTGTTTTGTTCACATGACTTAGAATTTCTACAATATTATATAATATTTTTGAACAAAATTGAATATTTTTCATAAGAAGGGATGTAAATTATTACTATTTTTTGTAGAGAAAATTACTATTTTTTGTAGAGAAAATTACTATTTTTTCTAGAGATAATTATTAATATTTGTACAAATTTTTTCAGAAGTTAGTAGTAGTAATTACGATAATTGTAATAAATTTCTACTTCTACAAACAATAGTAAAATATACTAAATATTGTGGAATTCTTTCCTATTGTTGTAGATTTTATTCGACAATTCAATTGCTACAATAATGAATAGTTTTTAACTATAAATTGTAGTAAAATTTTCTACAAATTGTTAAGTATTTTTCTACAAGTCTACTACTACAACATTGTAGTAAAATTTTCTAGTCAGATTTTTTTCCGTGTATCTATCTAACATACGTTATATTTTAAATTCCTTTAAATTTAAAAGAAACCGTAAAATGTTTAACGTCAAAAGAATTGTCCGTTTCCACTAGATGTTAAATAAAAAAAATTTGTTCCTACAACAGCATTATTTCGTATTTTTAACATCGACGTCCGAATTATTGCGATAATTCGATAGTTGTTCACCCTGATAAGGTGACTTCGATAATATTTATTTTAAAAATTACTATTCCTGTTTGCGATAAAATTTTTGACTCTTAAATTCATATTATAACAACATTCTGCACGATTAGTATTTGATAGGCTATTACAAATACAGGAATTGTAAACTGCAAAATTTGATAACAACCGTTTTGTCGAAAATGTAAATAAATATGACAGAAAATCGAAAATAAGGTGAATCATTTTGTTTCCTGTTCTTGCGTTTAAAATTTGCCTAATAAATATATAAAAAAAAAAACATTATTTTGGAAAAGTTTATGATTATGTGGATTAATAAATAATATAATTCCACCTACAAAGCTCTGCTAAAAAACAAACTTGCGGGCAAATTTGTAATTTTAAGTTTCCCATAAAAACCGACAACACTCTGTATTCAACATAATTACATAACCTCCACGATACTGGCGTCTAACTTTATTATTACACTAATAACTAGTTTTTTAACTACTTAATATGACAGTCAAATTTAATTTCTCCAGTCGTCGGTACCACTACTAACGAAAAGGTACTCACAACTCGTGCGGTACCACCACTTACTTATACGAAGTATTTAGCATTTTTCCACAGGAACCAACCGTCGGCACTATTTTCTTGGGTTCCGTCTCGTGGTACCGCTTTTTCGGTCACTTATACTTTTATTGATTGTTTTTTTTATACCTACTCGAAATTGCGTTTTTTTAGATTCTCTCGTTTTTTTAAAAATTTTTGTTCAAAGTACTTTTGTGCCCTACCTTTTTGAACCATCAATCTTTCGAATCCCCATCAATAATTTTGCGTATTACTTTTTCCTGTAACTCTTATTTTTACCGCGTTTCCGGATTTTTTTTTATTTATTATATTTTCTAACGGAAGTACTTTCGGGTACCGTCAATTTTGGGTACCGCTTTTGTAGTGAAGCAATTTTGATTTGATTTTTCGGTGACTTTAATGTATTAGTGATGTTTCGAGACTATATCGTAATGGATATGGACGTGTTAGTTGCCACAGACTTGGGTCAAGGTAAGAATACTCCTATTTACGTGAAATTTCATTAATATTTATGGATTATTCGGATTTGGGTTCCCGTTTTGTATAATCAAGCGGTAGCGAGGGAAATGGTTTCTTTTTGCATAACCGTTTGTTTGGGAATTTAATTTATGTATAGAATTATTGGAAGTGATTTTTGAATCAGTAAATTAGGCTTTTAAGTTAAGTAAATCATCAATAATCTGGCCTAAAACAGTGCATTTTACAATAGTTTGAGGGTTATACATATAAGAGAAAAGATAAAGCAAAAATCTGATGTGTCCAACACATGACTTTCCTATCTAGTTATTATAGGCTTTATAGGCGGTTATTTTGTACAACCTATTATACCTCCTCTATAAATATTTAGAGAATAAACTAAATATAAAAATACTGAAAAATTTTAATTTAGCTATTTTCCATTACGGTCCATTTTAGAACAATTATGTATAAACAAAAATTATAGAGATCGATATCGCAAACAACTTTTCATAAAAATCAGAATTTTGCACATTTTGTCAAATTTCTCGAATACGGACCATTTCAGGAAATTTTGACATAAAACAAAAATTATAGATAATAATATTAGAAGTAACTTTTATTTGAACAATTTTCTTCTCCAAACATAAATAACAGATATATTCCATAAAATATAAAAACGGCCTCTTATAAATTACCCCCCTAGATGTTCTGACTTTGTCCAAAATATAATCATTTCATGTCAGGCCGAAATAAAACTTAAGTTTAAAATTTAATATTTTTTCCTTTATCCGTTTTTGAGTTTTCTTCAAAATTCGAAATGTACACATTTTCTCAAATATCTCGAATACGGTCCATTTTAGAGAAATTATGTATAGGATAAAAATTATAGAGAATTATATTACAAACAACTTTTATTTGAACAATTTTTATAAAAAATTATTTTTTTTTACATTTTGTCAAATTTCTCGAATACGGACCATTTTAGGAAAATTTTGCATAAAACCAAAATTATAGACAATTATATTAGAAGTAACTTTTATTTGAAGAAATTTCTTCTCCAAACGTAAACAACAGATATATTCCATAAAATATAAAAATGACCACGTATAAAGTACCCCCCCAGATGTTCCGACTCTGCCCAAAATCTAATCAGCTCATTGGACGCTGAAACAAAGCTTAAGTTTAAAATTTGGTGTTTTCCTGTTTATCGGTTCATGAGTTATGCGACATACAGACACACGCACACCCACACACACACACACACAAACACACACACACAAACACACACACAAACACACACACACACACACACACACACACAAACACAGACATCATCGCGAAAATAGTCAAAACGGATTCAGGGGACCTCAAAACGTAAAAATCCGTCGAAAACTCGAGGTCGAAAAAAATCATGATTCCTATACTTTCCTTATATCTGTATACAGATAGGAAAGTAAAAATATTAATGTTTCTGTCCTAAACAATAAATACTTGTATTAAACTAGAAAATTTTTAAAACTACTGGATTTTGTTTCAATTTAGGAGATTGCTCTTAAGTCCCTTTTTTTATACATTTTTCAATAAAAGTTAATAACAAGGTAATATTTTTTCCACTTATTAGGCCTGATGATGGCTCATAGTAATCGAAACTATACTCCCTAGTACATACAAGTTAAATCCTAAGTTGATACTTTTTTTAATTGTGTATATATGTAATTAAAATCAATCTTTCATTAATTTCATCTTTAATTACCTTTTCAAAAAACACAAAAATAACAAAGTTGGATTAATTTATTCCAAAATGTCTGAAAAAGTGTATAACTTTCGTATTGAAAGATATACAAATGATTTTCTCGCGGTTTTCCACACTTTTTGTTGACTTGTCCCACCTGATATGCAATGGATTTTCCTCGATAACATTTATCCTGCATATTTCAATAAAATTATGTGTAGAGTTTTCTTTCCTCAATTAGGCTTTCGACTATGACTTAATTGTCAATGGGGTATAAGCGGGAAAATATTATTTTGTTTGTATCTAAGAAAGATGTACGTAACAAACATTTTTAGATTCTAAACCAGCCAAGCAACCTTAAATGCATTTAGATCAAACATAATCTAGTTGGAACAATCAAATAATTATCATTTATACATATGATATGATGAAAAGCGGCCCTGGTAAGGTGCTTTGGGGAATTTCAAAACTTATTTTCAAATGAATTTAAGGTTGGCGTTCACCCATAGAAATTCGCTGTATATGCAGAATTTATTTTTGACTTTCTACATAGTTTTCTGAAAAAATATACTTCCTGGTATTTATTTTAATATTAAAATCAGTTCATGAAGAGTGTCGACTGGTTGTAGTTTTTTAAAAATTCTCTAAAAATTTCTTTTACTAATAAATACTAATAAACTCTCAAATAACCAAAATAGTTTTAAGAAAAACATCTCAACTCTCAACTTCAGATGCCATTGCAAATCAATAAACAATTCTATAGAACAGAAAAAACCCTTTTTTATGTTGTGGATCTTACCAAGGCATTTGATGCAGTTGATCATACAAAATTAATGGTTGCCTTGGAAAATATTGGATTATGAGGTGTTGCTTACAATCTAATAAAAAGTTACCTATCTAGAAAATAGAATACAATAATAATAGTACTTTTGGTGATTATCAAGTCATAAATTGTGGTGTTCCTCAAGGAACAGTTCTTGGACCCTTATTATTTAATTTGTTTTTAAATGATCTCTTCGAACAAAAAATAAATGGTGAAATTATTAGATCTACAAAAAATTCTTAATTTTTTCGATAAATTCACTTGCTTAAAAGCTATTCAAGCTCAAAGTTGAACTAAAAATAACTTAATAATTTTCTTTGTATTTTTACTTTTCTTCTTAATAAATTCTACTTTCCTCTTTTCAATAATTTTGACAGACTCAACAAAATATCTGAATCAGATATTTTTGCAATAAAGAATAAATTGTAAAACAAATAATGATAGTTTTTCAGTCAAAATACAAAGAAAATTAATAAGTTATTTTTAGTTCAACTTTGAGCTTGAATTTTAAGCAAGTGAATTTATCGAAAAAATTGCTAAGAATTTTTTGTAGAGCGTTAAATTTACTACAAAAATAATTGATTGCCGCAGCTTTGTATGAGCTGGCTGAGGAACGAAAAAATTGATTGCAAAAATTATAATTTTAATACTTTTATTTTATAATATTATTTTAACTACTCTATTCTTAAGTTTCCTTTATGTTTTTTTATTTTATACTTAGATTGTGTCAGTTTATTAAAAAAAAATTAAAAGCATTAACCCTCAGGTCCTATCTTTTTGTTGGCTTTCATTTATTTGCTAAATTAAATGTATGCTTTCTAACTTTCAACATTTTTACTGTATCTTTTTTAGAATTATTCCCAAATCCATATTTTCTAATTCAAAAACAAAATACATATATTATTTCTTTCAAAATTATAGCTTTTTAAAAAAAATTTTAATTGAAATTTGAAATTGATTCCAGTTTGATAACCTATCAGAGAAATGAAAAATCTCTTCAAATGAATCATTGTGTATAGTTATCAAAACTTTGAACCTACGGCGATTAGTCACTTAGATAAAATGGAGTATGTTCATAATTTCGTGAACTAGGTATATCATATTACGGATATGTGACCGTAGAAGAAACATATAAGCATAGTCGATAATACGGGTGGGAAAATGGGTATTAGGTTCCATAATGTGAAATTAAAAAAAAAAATAAGGGTAAATGATAGTGGCGGTCATGTCGAAGAAACAAGCATGATTTTTTTTTTTATATAAATGCTACCTTGACTACTCTTAGAAAGTATGAATGGCGAAATCTCATCAAATATTTTGAATAAATAATTCTATAAATATCTAGGATAATCATTATTAATTAAAACTTTTTGTCTTACCTGCATAAATTAAAATATGCATAACACTTATATTTGCCGTTGTTTGCAGTTTTTCCTTGTCTTTTCCCGTCACTACTACGCTTACATCGTCCGCGTAGCCTACTAGCTTTACCTCGCGTGGTACTGGGAGTTTTAGGATGACATCGTAGTACACATTCCATAACATTGGTCCTATAACAGAGCCTTGTGGTACTCCACACGTCATCCTCCTCATTTTTCCTTCTATCCCTATGAGGAGCCATCTGTCATCTAGATAGCTGACCACTAGGTTATACGTTTGTCGTGTTACCTCTCGGTTTCTCAGTTCCTCTAGAATTCCATCCCACGGGGCAGAATTAAAGGCATTTTTAACATATATTGTAATGAGGGCACACCTTTTTCTGCCTGCTCTCTCGTTTGCCTCGTCTGCTATTTGCTGAACTTCTTCCATAGCGTCCATGGTTGATCTGCCCTCTCGGAATCTATATTGTTTACTAGACAAGTCACCGTTTCTCTCTATTTCCCTCTTCAGCCTTCCTAGGAGAAGATGCTCCATCAATTTTGCAAATACATTTAGGAGACAGATAGGCCTATATGTCTTGTTCATTTGTTCTGTTTTATGTTTTTCCAAAAGTACCAGTTTTGCTACTTTCCATTCTTTAGGGAACGTTCTTTTCAGCCAACATCTGTTAAAGTATATATCTGCTCTGGTGTTATCGGGATAACTTAAACGCTGCCTAGAAACTTGGCAGCTTCTTGTTTCATCCCATCTTTCCTTAAATTTCGCAAGGGAATGTTTTTTAATCGGGTTTTTCACTACCATTGTGGTCAGTCCAATGGAAGAACCAGTTCCAAAGAGTATATGGTTGGCGTGATCTTTGATCCATCTTAAGGTGACTACGTTGTTGATGGATACTTCGCCCAAAGCTTTGTTACATTATAGTACCATAGTACTAATCCTGTGTAAATTGGTGGTCTGTCCAGGATGAGTAGTGCTTGTCTGCTATCTGTACAGATGAACATGTTCCTTCTAGTAATATTGTTTCTAGTAATTTCTTTTGCTACTATGAGAATCCCCGTGAGCTCGGTTTGAACTACA